CTTCAACTCGCTCCCGATGCTACCTCCGTCCCGCCCGTAGCTCCCCGCATCTCCCAGGATAACCTGTGGCGCATGCACGTCGACAGCTCGCCGATTGGTGCAGCGATGCCAGTGGCGAAATTTCTCACAGCGCTGTTCCCGGCGTTGACGTCTATTCCCACCGAGCTCGAGCACCTGCCCGATAACGCATTTACCGTGGACTAGGTTGCACGGCACCGGCGGTGGAAGGAAGTGGAGACGCTGCTTCCGGACCTGCTCGAGATCCGCGAGCAGGAGAGAGAGTGGGCGGGGCAGAGTGGGCCTAATACTTCCACACCGATTGTATGATGGTCTGTGGTTGCCTCTTTTCTGTCTGGACTATTATAACGCTCCGTTGTAGATCTACCGAACTCGAACACAATATTCCATCTCGCCCACTCCCCACCAGCCGCTCCCAAATTAACTCCGCGTAAAATTGCACCTAATGCCGAGGCTTCACAACGTATTCGTATGGAGAGCCAGCCTGCAGAATCGCATGTCCAGCATCGATCATCTGGTTTGATATCATGGTGCTCATGTTGTTCCGTATGTTCTAAATTAAAATAAATTCAATGGTGTTTCGGTCGTCGAGTATCGGGACGAAACACACCATCTCCTGCATGGCGAGACTCCTCTGCATATTCTGAATCCAAAATCAGCTGCTTCCCTTTGAGCTATCAGAGAGAGGGAGACGTACGATCTCCTGCATCGTCAAAGCCTGGAAACACGCTGGTTAATTTTTTCTTTCGAGCAGAAATACGACTTGGGTCCTCACTGTCTCTTGTTGTTGCCGCTGCATCTCGATTATTCGGAGCTGGGCGAAAACTGCAGGACATCTTATTGTCAATGACACAATTCAATCCACAGACATTGAGGACACTTACACTGTTGATCCTCAGGGGAGTTAGCCAACTCTTTTAGCTCCGAGAGTTTCTGGGCCATCAGGTCAGGCAGACTCCACCTCGACTGGATCACCGAGTCGTTGGGTTTCTTGAATTTGAGGAAGAAGTAGCGATCCGAGTACGGGCATAGCATCGAGCCCGGTTGGAGACACCAGCCTTCGTCGAACTCAAGCAAGACCTTGACGAAAGGTGAGGTTTGATGATCGGGAGCGGGAGTTGGACGCGTACCTTGGTGAGTGGGTGGTCGGGGTCATTCTTCGTCTCCTCGTTCACATCCGCGATAAAGCCGCCAACAGTTAGGAATATATGGCTCTTGTCGTGTCCAAAAAGAAGCTAGCCTCGTTCGTTGAGTTACATGGTCCGCCTACAGAACGAATTTGAGCGGCACTTACGCCCTTGATTATGCTGTCAAACTTCGCGTCTCCAACATGCTTTTTGAGGATGTTGAGATTATTCATGTGTGTCGGGACGCGTTCCAGCCCTTGTCATGTTTGAGGAAGTAGCTGTCTTCGGGTCCAAGAGTAACGAAATTGGCACCCTTGGTTTTCAGGTGGTTGACGACGGCTTCTGAAATGTTAATACTGAAACGCGCTGCACATGATACAGAGTTAGTTAAAGTAGTAATCCGCAACGACCCACGTACTCTCCTTTCGGACGTCATTTCGTGCAATATGTTTCTCCCCACTCGGGCCAAAGCTAAAAGAAATCAGAATGGACGAGCAAGTCACTGGATTAGCATGGCGTACGAAATCCACGCTGTTTCGGTGATGGACAAAGCACCGCTCTCACCGGTTTCCTCGGTAAAGCTCACTGGCATGCCCTGGAATGCATGTCGACGACCATGGCCCACGTAAAAGGACTCTGTATCCTTCCCTGTATATCAATTCAACAATAAGCTTTCAAAACGATAGACACCTAGTTTCGCGGCTCACCGAAAACAACGAGGGTGTTTGGAGTAGTGGCTGGCATGTAAGCTGGTGAGATGCTGAGGAATAGAGTAGTAAATGCAGTACGGTGTCGTTCTTGTATTTTATATGTGACAAGCGCTTGGGGGTACTGACAGCCGTCAGAACGAATGGCAACGGGATCAAATCACTATGTATGAAAGCCACTGAGACAGATTAATTAGTCTTGGATTAGAACGTCATATTCCACTTGATAAAGGGAATGTTTGGTAATTCTGAAAAAAATCACCGCCTCTGTTTCCAGAGTGCAACGAATTATGAGCCAATATGTGCCCAACCTATTGTAGCGCCTAACCTTGGCGAGTGGATTACTACGGGACCGACTCAAATACAACACACAAACTCAGAATCCAACATCGAACAAAAGAGACCCTGAATTGAGGCCGATTGAACTTCTTGAACCCAAATCATTGCTGTGAGCACTGCACCGCAATTTGTCTGTAGTTCAAACACTCACCTCTACTATCTCCTCACTTCGACATAACCCCCGGTCGCCATTTTAATCCCGTTGCCTCCCTGTATCATCGTCTGACAGAACATGTCGTTCATCTGAGTCTGCATTCTCTAGATGCAAGTCAAGTGAATGGGATCTCTACACAGAGGATAGACACACACCATCTGCTGCATCGCCAAGGCCTGAACAGATAATTATTAAATCAGCAAGCTATTGCGCTGGATTAAACTGAAGTGCGCGCTCACAGCCTCGGCCTGCTGCTTCTGCATATCGATCAAGCGAAGCTGTGTCAGGACTACACAACAAAATCCAGATTATTATGAGCGGCAATACGACGTCAAGTGTCAGCCATAACGTACACATGTCATCCTCGGGCGACGCGGTCAACTCTTTTAGCTCTGCAAGTTTCTGGGACATGACTTCAGGTAGACACCACCGCGACTGGATCACGCTATCGTTGGGCTTCTTGAATCTGAGAAAAAAGTAGCGATCCGAGTACGGGCAGAGCGTAGAGCCGGGCTCGATACACCAGCCTTCGTCGAACTCGGTGAGAACCTGGGAAAGTGTGAGTATATAATTTCTCAAACTTAGTTCTCGGCTGTACCTGGGTGAGAGGGTGCTCGGCGTCCTTCTGAGTTTCCTCGTTCAAGTCGGAAAGAAATCCTCCAACAAACAGGAATATATGAGTTTGATTGTGCCCGAATAGCAGCTAGCATGGTCATGGTACTCATCCACACTGAGGCTGAAACGGACTTACGCCTCTGATTGCACTGTCAAAATTGTCTATCCGTGGCTTGAGGTCATGAACATTTTGCAGGTGCTTCGGAGGTAACCTTGCATTCCAGCCCTTGCTATGTTTGATAAAGTAGTAGTCGTCATCTCCGAGCGCAATGAACGTGACGCCGCCATTGGCTTTGATGTGCTCGACGATTTCCTCAGAGATGCCGCTGTAACTGACTGTGGGCGGGACATTAGATGGCTACGATGTAGTACGCCACAGGTAACAACGTACACTGCTTCCGGTCGTCATTCTTTCCAATATATTTTGTCCCGGTCGGATCGAGGCTGTCGGCAGTGGACTGTGAAAGGGTTTTCCCGTAAACCACGAGGAGCAGCACGTACGCGATCCAGCCAGTTTGCGTAACGGGCAAATCGGCGCCTTGCACCTTCGTGGCAAACTCATCTGGAATACCTTGGAATGAATAGCGCCGCCCGTGGCCGAGGAAGTAGACCTCTTCATTGGGACCTGAATCAAGCAAGGTAAGGTAAGCTTCACAAATCGTTGAGAATCCACACGTACCGAAGACTACTAAGGTGTTGGGGATTGTTGGCATGATAGAGGGGAAAGGAGAGGAACTGAGCCCGTACGACATCGATGGCTTCGTTATATAGACAAGCCTAGGGGCTTGACAAACATCAGAGCTGTCGTCCGTCAGGCACAGTGGCAACGGGATGCACACGGAACCAAATATACTGGAAGACAATCTGGAACGGAATGGTCGGAAGTATTGCTCGATGAGAAAGTTGATAGTCATGGGGAATAGTACGGAACATAGAGTAGAGGTGGTTAGCGGGACCCTTGCGATGCCAGCTCGATGTTGATACGCAGCGAGAATATCCGCTGACGGTTTGAGGCGAGTGTCAGAGCGATAGGATAAAGAAGCGAGCAAGTGGAAATAAATTCCATGCAAGAATCCGAATTGCGCTAGACGGACAGAACTCGAGCACCAGAAAGATTCAAACTGCAGCGCACAGGAGGTGTGAATGTCTGGGCGGCATGTACCAGAATACAGTCACAGTTCCAGACTGTAGGATGTGCGATGAGGAACTTGGAATCTTGTCGCGATTGAAGCGATCATTAGCGATGGAGGTTGGAGGCAAGACACGCGTTTATTTGGATCAAAGGTGATCGCCAAAGATCGGTCGAATTCGGTCCGCATAACGACAAGGCATTCCGTGAACAGAAACAAACCTCACCGACGTTCAACGGCTTTACAGGGGTGGAGAAAAACCAGGAAGACCAATGGGAGAAATAATACGAATGTACAACAGTATCGCTGACCTGGAGTTCAAAAGAGGCCTCCGCCGTTAGAAATATTTGAGCTCTTGAACTTCATTTTTTGATCATGCGGCTTGAATGCCAGCTACCACCACCGTATCACTGAATGGGACCGAATACGCCGAGCCACCGCCGAACGGCTATCCCGCTCAACCTCTATTCTACCATCGGGATGATCAGGTTAGAAAGTCCAGCGATGCTGAACTCGGCGTTGTAGCCTACACACCGCCGCTATAAAATCCTCAAGGTCGGAGGATCTGGGGGGAAATGCACACCGGCAGTACAATCCTGTAAAGCATGATCGGTCAGCTATCGGTCTGACCACCTGGTGTACCATTACAAGATGAGACTACTGCAGAGAAAATCAGAGGCCCGCACAGGCTTGGTGTGCAATACTTTTGAAAGTAAGACGGGCATTCCTACGGTGAAGCATCCAACTCCAAGATGAATTATAACAAGAGTGATAAATGTATTTCACCATATCTCACTGGATGCAGACAACTACGAAATTGGATGATGAAATCTAGATTCAAGTTGACCTTCAGTGAATGAGGAACCCTGCGTGCATGACGAGGAGGGTTAAATCTGGGTCGACAGGCGTGTCACAGGTGGTCTAGCGGTTATGATGCCCATATTTCACTTTTGTGTTCGTGGGTGAGCGGGGTTCGACTCCTCGTCTGGGGCACTCTTTTTGTGCTTTTTTTAAACAACGTGTTGATTCATGCCATATGAGGACTAGTTCCTTCGCGTAAAACTGACGTCGCAAAGCAAACATGATTTTTCGATCCGCACGAATGAGAAAGCAAGACTGCGTACATGTGTCTCTAGTTTTTCCAAATCCTTGCGAACTAATGAACAAACACAACGGAGCACCAGCCAAAGCACCCAAAAAGTACCAACCAACACACCAGACGCCAAGAAAATATCCAGCCACCGTCAAGAACAGAAAAGAAAAGAAAAACGTGAGAAACTCCACTGAGGCCACCAGCCACAGGAGCCTCCTCTCGTACTCCGTCTCGCTCTAGAATTCGATCCAAATGCAGTCGACGATTTTTTGAACTCTGTGCCCAAATGCGGTAGTGGCACTGCCACTGATCTTAATACCCCCGATGATCTCCGTCGGAGATTCTCGGCGCGCTTCTTGCCTCTTACCACACCCTCAGAAAACCGAGTCGAATGTCCCAGCACATCGTTTCCGTCACTGCTCCCACCTCGCCCAATCCGCCTGTCGTCGCATCCCTCGCCCCCGGCGCCGAGTCCACATCGTTTTCTGCCCCACTGAGTGGGCTGGCGCGCTGCAGTGGATGAACACCGGCACAACACGACGAACGGCCGGACTCCGTCGCTCCTTCGGGTCCACAATGGTGTTCCAACCGGATCCCTGGTTGACGTAAGGCAACGCATCCGGCTCATCGGTCGTATGCGACTGCGACCCCTGGTTTTTCTCATCAGGCACGCGCAAAACGTCTCCGAAGCCGATTTCGCGCATGCTGGGACGCTCGCGCGTGCAAGCCGCGACTCGTTCGTGGTTTGTTAACCGACCTCGCTTTTCCAACTCTCCCTGTCGCGGCGAACCCGTCTGCAGAGCCGATACCGGGACAGTGCGCGTCACTGCGGCACAGCTTGTCGCGCGGCCGCCGAGCGTACGCGTGGCGCAAGGCACGCTGGGAGTGCTGATTATTGTGGCGCTCGCGGTGTACATCCTGCCGCCCCGCGTTGACCTCCCGATAAATCCCTCGTCGATGGCAGCCCAGGAAGTACTGCCCCAGCACGGAGATTTCGGCGCGAGACGGCGACGATGAACCGGGCGGAGACGGAAGCGCTGTTGAGCGACTGCGAGTTTGCGGTGAAGAGTGGGCAGACATTCTAGATTCTTACGCGACGGAGAAGCGAGAATCGGGAGCATGAGGTGCGTTGCGATGTTTTGAACCTCGCTTGAATTCTCTGATGTACGTGCCGCAGGTTTCAGCCAGTGCTTCACGAGTCCGAGCATGACGTCCCATTATTCTCCACGCCGTGTTCAAAGGGATCCCGTGTCTCATGATTATCGGGACAATTAGTGCGCTGGAAGTCACCCTGCGTATCAGCACATCCAACCACGGTTTCGCAAATCTCGGCGCTTCTGGTCAGACTTCCTGGACCTATTTCGCGCCGACCTTCCTCTTCTTCCTCGGTTTATTCATCACCTCGTACGCCTTTGGTGTCAGCACACTCGATCCCTTCTTCGCGATGAGCCACGAACCACAGCCGGCGCACAAATCCCTCCGCTATTCCCAGCCCGCCGGCGCTTGTCTTCCACGCGCTGCGCTACCGCAGCCCCATCGGGCTGGCGCGCGCCGCGATCATGCTCATCGTGCCCTTCCTCCAGATTACCGTCACCGACCTTATCACTCCCGCGCCGCAGCCCATACAGGACATGGTGCAGATCGCGCAGACGACGGCGTTCAACATACACCATAACGTCCGTGTCCCAGATGGATAACAGCGATGGGGGGGACGCAGCGGCGATGTTTCTTCCCGGGCAGACGCTCTTTATTTTGTTCATCTCTTACGGCCCACTAATAAATCGTCCATCTAGGTCAATCCACAACGTTACATGAGGGTACGACACGAGTAATGCTGAGGTCTTGTCCATCGATCCATCGTCCCGCGACACAACCATCATGAACAGCTTCCCTATCAACGAAACGGGCTACCTGACAAACAAAATGCCCGAAGGGAACTATGAGAAGAACGTGTCGCATTCTTTTGATTCGTCCAAGCAGATTCTAACCCTACGCAACACCTCCACGCCGCTCGAGGCGTATCTGGACGCGACGACGCTCACGAGCGGCGCACAAGAGCTGTACACGGTCTACTGGACCATTTTTGCGTCCTACCTCGCTGTTCCCGTTAACGACGACGGCTCGGAGCCCGTTCCCGCCATTGTCACCTACACCCGTATGCGGATTGTCCAGGCGTGGCCGCCCATGCGCATCCTTCAGGCTTTGCTCAGCTGCGTGTTGGCGTGCAGACTGCTCACGGCGCTCACGGTGCGCAAAACGGCGGGTATGCTCGCGAAGGCGCCCTACTCGATCGGCGCGACCATGGGCCTGTTGGCGGAGAGTGCGTTTGTGGAGCTTCAAGGGCTGGCGAATGTGCGCCGGGAAGCGGACCTGGATGTCCTTCTGGAGCCGTACACCTTCAGGCTCGGGTGGACACTGTTTATTCCTTTTCGATTCCATTTCAGGATCCGTTCTAACGCGACTTACAGTCTACATTCACAGTTTCAACCACAGCCGAAATACGAGACTTGCGCGATCACTTTTCTTTCTCTGTATACCCCTTGTTGTATTCTTTGTTTGATATCTTGAATTCTCCTCGGAATGCCCTGTACTTCGCCGACACATTTCGGTTCCTCATGAGAAAGAAATTCTGGAAAGATTCCTGCCTAGCTGTCATGTTCGACGTTCAACTTCGCTGCTTTCTTCTCCCGTGATGACTCGGTCAATGGGGAACGATTTACAGGCGCTGGAATATTCTCATATTCTTGGCGACTGATCAGTAGACTTGAGCTACAGTCCAGACTTCCTAATTACAAGCCCCGACAATCCAAACTGATTATCAGAACCCGCAACAAGCCTCACTGGTTTCAAGTTGGTCTCTAACCATGTTGATTCCGATTGAAAAGTTAGAACTTGAAACTTCAACTTGAATGCAGAATTTGTTGAGAATTTGGCCTGCGTCATCGGGTCGGTAGTTCGGTCAGTGGTTCACCAGAGCCTCACAAAGGATTTAATTGTTGAAAAGATTTTAACCAAGCACAACGGCTGTGTGTAAAATTTGGTTGCAGTTTGGCCCACAAGTTTCGGCTGCGGACGGGTCCGGATCCTGAAAGGCGGTGTTGAGCTTGTGTTTGTTTTGAATCTTTGTAATGAGTGCGATCGTTTCTTTTTTTTTTTTTTGCCCCCACCACCATCTGCTCACACTCAGCACCAAAACCTGCTCTCTCGGGTCTCCGACGCGAATCTGTTCAAATGTCTGTCGGTCGATCCGTGAGAGCATCGATTCTTCCTATGGAATTGGAGAGGGAAATTTTCGAATTGGCTGCCCACTATCGACCGTTGTCCATCGCCACGCTGATCTTGGTGGCACATCGTGTAAAAGTTTGGTCAGTTCTGAGCTGTCTTCGAACTCCATTCTTGTTTCCATTCACTTACGTCTCTTCCCTCAGGCTCGAGCCACTTTTGTATCGGATCATCGCGTCCGAGGGAGCGGGCAGTAGCTGGGGGATCCAAGGCCGCCCGATCCTCCGCTGGCCACCTGAAGTCGTTGCCATGCAATCCAAATCACCCTCCTTCTTCAATGACACCGTCCGCCACCTGTTGATACAGGGCGTTCAAGTCAAACACACGGAATTCCTGCTGAAAACTGCTTCAAGATCGAAAACCTTTATATCATCGACCGCAAACACTCACTCACCTCCCATCTTTCCGCCCTTGGTAATTTACCATTGAAACAGCTTCACTGCGATCTAGGCAGCCTATTTGGGACCGCGGAGAACATCGACTTCAGCCATCGAATATTCTCCCAGATCACGCATCTGCAGCTATTGGACGATGTATTACCTTGGCCGGGACGGGGGCACGGCAACGTCGACATTTCGAACCACTGGTCTGGACTGGCGCTCATTCCTCATCTCACTCACCTCGCTTTTTTCCACTCCTACGACATCCCCGTGTTCCGCCAGCTGCTCAGGACGTGCAGGTCATTGAGGGTTCTGATCCTCGTGGAGATAGCACATGGTGGGCCGCACGATGTACGACTGGCGCAAGTCGCCGAGGATCCCCGCTTTGTTTGTATTCGCATCAGCAGCCCTAACTTCGAGGCGAGCTGGTATGCGGGTGCACAGGGAGAAAAGGATTTATGGTGGAGAGCCGAGGCGCTCATAGCTCGGCGGCGATCTCTTCCTGTCCCTGGTACGTTGCTTGCGACAGGAGTGTATGCTGAAGACTGAACAATTGGGTCGTTAGGTCGTCACGACTATATCCTCCAGGGCCCTCGTCAAGACACTCCTTATTCGCTCTTAGATCTGATGCGGACGTGATATATGTACAACGTTTATCCAGCCTTTTCGTTTACAAAGGCTGATTGTGGTTTCAGGACATCTCAGAGTGCTGCAAACTCCCTGGTTTATTTAAGTTATTGAATATATTTACTCGGGACGGGTTACTTCTCAGCGCCAAAAACCGTAAACCTTCAAAGGAGATCCATATGGCTTGTAAGTGAGCGTTGCATTACTGTAGTTGCACTGAAGCACTACATGAACTTGAGTGTAACCCGTGACGATTACCCACCCATTCGCTCGCCACTTCATGCCGTAGTTGGCCGACCTTCCGCGAAAACTGCATCGAGCCGCCCTGTGATCGTCCGATGAGCCATGTCTCTTTGTGTGAAGAGAAGAACCCCCCATGCAGATTGAGATTCGTCCCAGTATTTGTTGAACAGGCGTCCAACCAAGGGGGAATCAATATTAAAATAAAAAATATAGGGTAGGAGGGGGGGGGGGGTCTAGAAAAAGGGCTTAAAAAACTTTTTTACCTTCTTTTTGAGTTAGTTTGAAATGACCTCCAAATGCTTTGAGAAGGCTTAAAAATGGTCCTTTGACCTGCCCACTCTCTTTTGAGAGTCATTCCGAAGTCATT